AATAAGTTGAATTAGAATTAAGTATAAATAAAGTTAATGTCAATTATATTTTAACTAAAGAATTATTAAATCAATTATATTTCTCACCTTAAAACTATTTATGATACCTTGATCACAAGGTTGGAGATGTGCTGTGGTATTCATAAAGAGCGTGTGTCAGAGCATTGTCCACAAGAAGGATAATTTCTGATTTTGTCTTCTCATTTTTATATCGAGTTTTTTTATATAATCATTTCAAATTGAAACTTGCATCCAACTTTTTTGATTCCAATAGTATTCAACTGGAAGCGTTCTTTTATCAATATTCTTAATTCTTAATAACCCTAGGATTACTTGTATATGAACAAAGGCGTCAGCTTTTCACTTCCTGTTGCATTGCATGTGAGTAGGATCATTACACAATCCTTTGATTGTTTCTTTCCTGATATTTGTTCATTGGATATCATTTGATATGGTTTTATTTTCCAAAACAGTCCTGTTTCGTCACAATTGAATATATCTTTGGGACTATATTCTTTTAATATTTGCTGGAGATTCTCTCTTATTGTTTCAAGATCTTTGAGCGGCATACTTGTGGCTTCCTCATGTATAATGTACTGTTTAAGGTTATGTTATTTTTTAAAGCTGTCCACCCAACCACTAGACTCTTTAAACTTATCCTTCTTTAATAAAAAAGCAAAACTCAAGGCTTTTATTGAAAGAATATTGTCAGTAATAATGAGGCTAGCTTTGAGTATGTTATCTACCCATATTACTAACGCTTCTTTAACAAGAGGGAATGGAGTTTTCTTATCACGTTTCAAATTAGCTTGGTATGAATTGGTATCCACAGAAAGCCAACAGTCTTTCTCCTTTAAAATTTCACTTATTATGCCTTCCCTAATGTCATATTTATTAGCCAAGTCTTTTTGTTTTAAAAAAGGTGATGATGTTTTTTTTAAACAAAGTTCTTTTTTTTGTACAGCTGTAAGAGACTTTCAATTTTTTTTAAAGGTTCATCTTGTTTATTAGTAGTTTGATTAAGTTGTTTTTTTGAGTTTACTTTTGGCATTATTGGCATTATGCAAAAAAAAAACACGTAAAAAATAAAATATGTAAAAAAAAATATGGAACACAAGATAATGCATAACGCGAATATTTATTCCTTTTTTAATTTCATTTAAAAATTACATAATTTTATATATATAAATCTAGTAAAATTCATTTTAAGCAAAACTTCGTTGTATCAAAAAAAATTCGTTATAGAGAAAATTTGTTATAAAAAGAGTCATTTTATATATAAAATTTTCTGACTTTAATTCGTTAAACGTAGTACGAATTTTTAATTACTAAATTCGGTATAGTAAGGGTTTTTTTATATTTAAAAATCTGTCTGACACTGAAAATCCGTTGTATTGTAAAATTCATTATTTCAAAATTTGTTGTAAAAAGAGTTAACTGTATATTGTTGGTCACGTGAGATGAAACAGGATTCGGCATTGATGTGAAGTAAAAAGTCAATAAGTTGTCATTGATCAGTGTTGAAAGGTAATCCAGTAAGTTTGAGTTCAAACTGTTGTCTCAATGCCGTTTGTGTGTGGTTAAGATCTGTTGGTTCTACTCTAAGTAGAAACTCTAAAAAAGTAACAGACCAAACTCGATCGTAAAAAGCTTTAATGGAATCAGGTTCTTCGAAAACAATGAAGGTGATCTGCCAGGATTCACAGATAATCATTGAAAAATAGGAGATCTTTCCATATTTAGTAAAGTAATTTCTAACAACGTCTGATGAATATCAGATACTTTTATGGTTCGGCTTTTTTCGGCATCTTGTCTTTGTTGTTTGACCGCAGGATCGATAATAGTGAAAATAGGATTATGTTGTATTTCTTGTGTCTTTGTAAATACATTTTTTAGGGAATCCATCGTGTCAAAGTATATAAAAAATTTTCTAATTTTGGAAAAATAAGTCAAGCCTTGGTATCCATTGTAATGAATGAAAAGGGAGTTGACAAACTTGTGTTTTTCAGCAATCAAATTTCCTTTTATGTCTGAGACGTTATCTATCGTGTAGAAGTATGTGGATGCAGTAATAATGTTAAAAGAAATTTTTTGAGTATCCTGATCACGTGTTTTGTCTTCGTTTTCCATTTCTTCTGACCATGTATCTTCTTTTTGTTTATCTTTATTGGTAATAACCTGATTTGTAATTGGATGAAGGACATTATTATTATTGTTGTGGGAGCTGGAACTGGAAGCGTGCATAGAGTCATTAGTCGTATCTTTAGTGGAAGAAGAATAAGTTTCTTTATCATTTGCGTCTATAGAAGTTGAGTCAATATTGATTTCTGGAGTAGTATGTTCAATTGTTTAGTCGTTATCAGGGGGAATAAAGTCGTGTCTAGTAATAATATTGTTAATAGTTTATTCCAAAGGAGTTTCTATATTTGGGAAAAATTGTTTGAAGAAAGTTTAATTTTTTTCGGTTGTTCAGTCTGTTCAGTAATTAAGGTTTGTTGGTTGGAGATAGAAGAAGTGTTATCGTTCGTGTTGTTATTATTTCTTTTGTTGTTAGAAAAAGTTTGAGAATTATTATTAACGTTTCTATTTTTCGTTTGTCTAATTATTGGCATTTTTTGTTATTTTTGTAAAAAAGGGGAAAGAATTTTTGGGAACAATTGATTTTTTTTTAAGACACGGTAAAGCTTTTATTTATTAAACATTTAGATTCAAATTATAAAATAAGAAGAAAATCCCAAAACAGGTACAAAAGTAGAAAAAAATAAAGTAAAAGCTGCTTAGCCTTCCTCGAAAGGCGAACCAACTCCAACCAAACCAACCGGTTGTCTGCTCACGTTTAAATTCGATTACTTAGAGAAGAAAAATCAGTACATGACAAATGAAAAGAAAAAACGTTTGAGATAACTAGTTTTCACTGCATTAAAAAGAGGCCAGAATCTGCCGTAAATAAATGAGTTAGAAAGAAGAGTTAGATGGTTTATATTGTTATTGATGATAGGTGTATTAGGCAAAGAAGAGAGTTTAGAACTGTTAAATGATTTACTACACATTTTTTTATTTGTGATATTAAAAGTGAGTTCTTTAGCAATAGTCAGAGCACATCTGGATTTCCAAATAAGAAGGATCGCTTGATCAATAATGAGATTATAAAAAGAAGATAAAATAGCAAGAGATTTTTTTTGGCATTTGGTAAAATCATTGATAAGATAATAGAAATGAGAAGGAACAATTCCTTTTAGGAAGTCGATGAAATTGAAAGAGAAAGAGGAAGATCCCAATATGAATGTAAAATGTCGAAAATTGATTGTAATTCTAAAGGCCATTGTCAGCTAGAGGTATGAATATATAATTGATCTTTGAGAGTTTAAATACCCTTGATGATAATATTATTAAGTATAGGACGAGCCTCAGGGCAGGTCCAGATATGAGTAAAAGTTTCATTAGATGAATTACAGTGATAATATTTCCAAGTAGCAGCATACAGATCAGGAGATGTAAGCTTAAGAAATTCAAGAGTAGGTAGTTGTTCGAATAGGAGTTGGTATTTTCGTTTGTGATAAAATGATTCTTTAAAAGAAGTTATGTTGTTTGAGCTGTGATTGATAAGATTGAAAGTGTAGAGCCAATTAATTTGTTTGTTTTTATAGTGATTATTTTTTTGAAGATTGTAGAAATTTGTAAAGGATTTGGAATTGATATAGTCTTTGAAAAAGGGTCGAATTTTTTTATTAATAGGATTATTTTGAAAGGTAAGAACGAAAGAAAGAAAGGGGATGTGAGAGAAAGAGATAGAGATTAGAGGATCATGGAGAGCAGATTTAGCTAAAAGATCAACTTTTTCATTATAAGTATTGCCAGAATGTGCTTTAACTTTTACCAAAGATAATGTGATCTGTTTTTGTTTAATGATTTTGAATATGTAACACCAATATATATAGAAGGGAGTTTTAAAGAGTAAGGATAGATAAAAACAAATATTGTTTTGTGAAATTCTATTATAGGCGAGAATCAATGATAAGCTATCAGTATTAATTTTAACAATTGAACCAAAAGGGCAAACAAAAAGAGTTATAAGAAGAGCAAAAATTTCAGCATTAGTAGAGTTGGCCCAAAAAGGAGGTAAAGTAACAGCAAAACTAATATCTAGAGAATCATATACTAAAACAAAAGTGGAACTAATAAAAGTACTTATAGGTGAGAGAATGAATTGATGAGACCCATCAGTGTAAAATTCTAAAATAGATTTATTAAATAAAGAAACTCTATAGTTATTAAGGGCAGTGATACATTTGACAAAAGTAAATAAACTTTCTATAGTTAGGATATCATTATCTAAATTTAAGTGGGTAGGTAAGATGTTTGGAATGGAAATGGAATGAACCATTTTGATCTAGCTACAGCTTGATCTATTAAAGGTCACAAAGATCTTTTATGAACATGTAGGTTTTTATCATTGCTTTGGACCAGAGGGAAATAGCGATCGGGTTGAAGAGCAATAGATCAATGAAACGAGCATAAGGCAACTTTTTAAATTTCTGTTTAATGATTTTTTTTCTGGATTTGTTAAAAGAGCAGCCAGAACATGATACTAAGACATAATTTCTTTTTGATGGAGAACGCAGATCATTTGTTGAGTTATTTAATGTAAAATGTTGAAAGAGACAAGGTGAAGCTGGAGATTTTAATTTGAACACCTTTCCAAAGATAGATGATCCAGGAATTGGAAATTTATAAATGTTATACTCAGGAGAAGTCCAGACATTGGCCTATCCAGTATTCCATTTAAAGTTCTCGATTGAAGTTGATGTTAAATAATCGTTAAAAACTTGGGACTCAAAAGGAAATTCTGGTTTGAGACGATTTGAAAAACAGGATTCGTTACAACTATCTTTTGTAATAATTTGAACCAATGTGGAGTGACACCATTGAAATTAGCTGAGGAGAAAGATCGAAGCTGAATGTCATGATAATTGAGAAGGAAACAGCCAGTAGCAACTACTTGGAATAGGAACATGATGTTTTTTGATCTAATATTACTAATATCATTAGTATTTCAAGGCATGATTGTATTGAGAGGAACTAAGCCTCCTGAGATACAAAAAAGAGCAATCATTTTTGAGGAATTAGTAAAGGAAAAGTTAGAGTCGTGGTAGGTGGTGATAAAGTTTGAAAAAAATTTTTATGTCTATAATGCTTCTATGATTTAGACCAGCAGACCAAAGGATTATCATGTAACTAGAATCTTTGTTGTAGCTGTTTGAGTCGAATGAGTACTGATAAGCTAAGGATCGTATAATCAGAAGAGGAATTAATAATGTTAATAAACTGTTGAATTTTTGAAGTTTGAGAGACAAATGATAGATCGTTGAATCTGTAGGCTAGTTTGTTGTAAATGATCGAATTTGATGTGCTACATCTAAGTCCTAATTTATTTTTAAGTAATTTCCTCATGGGTTGATATAAGAGGTCACATTCAAGTTTAGAAAGAATAGTCAATCTCGATCTATATTCCAGATGTAGTATGAGAACCATGTTGTTCAGATAACATAATTGCTTGTCTATGAGAGATTTAAAACGAAGCTCTCTAAAAGATGCAATTTTTGAGAAAATTTGGTTTTTTATAAAGGATTTGTTGTAACAAGCTGAGATCCAAATACCTAAATAGCGAGTCGAATCTGTGAGTGAAATGGTTTGACATTCGAATGAAGTGTTATTATAGGAACATCTGAATAGGATTGATTCAGTATTAGTGTGATCTGTGATCAAGTATGATTTATCAAAATTGACTTTCATAGAGTTCAGCTCATAGAAGGTCTGAGTGATGTTTAGTATACTAGTCATTTGGTCGTAACTGTCAGCAATCCATATCGTGTCATCCATAAAAGCCAAGACAGGAATAGTAACATTAAGTGATTTTGTTGCAAAGTCATTTAGGTCAGGGTTCCAAGTTATCGACATGTTAAAATCCAGTCCAGACTTTTTTATTCTGTCGAAAAGAGAATCATAATATATGATCCAGAGTAGCGGTGAGATAACTTCGCCTTGGTCAATACCGACGAAAACTTTATAAGGATCAGTAAGGCCGAAATCAGTGAAAATCTTATTGGTCCAGTTGAGAAAGAGTCCAATAATCAAGTTGATCAGAGTATCTGGAAATTTTAGACGAGTCAGGGCTTTTTTTAACATGAAAATATTTACTCAATCATAAGCTTTTGACATGTCTTGAAACAGAATATGTAAATCTTATTTGTAAGAAGAATCAGTTTCTTTGTTAAGACGGTGATATTCAAGGAGATTATTGATTATGTGTAGGGGTTTCAAAGTAGATTGATGCAGAAGACCTGTAAAATTTAAACCTGATAAAGCGTTAGTTTTAATAAGGACTTTTTGTAATCTAGCATTTAAGATTTTTGTGAATGCTTTTCGAACAGTTTTTAAAAGAGTAATCGGTCTGGTATTATTGAGATCACAATTCCCTGGTTTTGGTTTTGGTATAGGGTATACATGGGCCATGTTCCATTATCATGGAGTAAGACCCGATATAAAGCAAGCGCAAATAATTTTATACAAAAATTTGTTATCGAGTAGACCCAATTTTTTTAGCAACTTATTGGAAATATTGGAAAGACCGGAAGCTTTGTCATTAGGTAAGTGTTTAATAACAAGCAGCCATTCATCGTAACTAGGAGCGTCAAGAACATGATCATATTCGTCAATATTAACGGTTGAGAGAGGTTGGTAGAATGATTCCCATTGAGACCAGAATTGGAAAAATAAGACAAGTTAGGATCAGTAACATCTAGGTTTTGGGCACCAGCAACAGTCTGGAAATGTTAAGCAGTTGCCTTTTTTATTAATGTTGGGTTTAATTCTAAGTAAGGATCAGTATCGGGTTCATTAATCATAACTATGTTGAGGATGATAGTTTTCCTTGATCTTTCGAGACAGGAATCAATCATTTTCGAAGGGCATCTTTGTAGTTATTGATTCATTGTAATATATGGATTTTGATTTGGTCATTAGTTTCTTGTTTGGATACGATTTTTAATTTGCATTCCAATGGTTTGATAATAGAAGCTTTTAAATCCACGAAATATGCTTTAAGATCTTTTTGATAATAGAAAGAGTCAATTGAAGCTGATGAGATCCTGTGTTCGTTAGCAACGGATAAAACATATTGGTGCTCCTCATATTCTATACTAAAAGTATAAGAAGAAAACAAGGAGGTGACATTTTCTTTATTCATAAATCGTTTGGTTCTGTGATATAGTTTGTATAGTTTTTTAATCTGCCTGTGAATGGTGAAATTGTTATAACTAATAAAAAGTGCAAAGAATTCTCATGCTTGATTGAGAATCGTTTGAGAGAAACTAAGAATATGAATATCACAGTTATGAAATTTCTTTGATTCTTTGATCAGCTTATCGAGTTTATCAGAAAAAAGATCCTAATGTAAAAATGCTGTTTTTTCAAAATTAAAGGAAGTTCATGTTGTTTTATGTTATTTTCGATATGCATTAGAAGAGTTGTTAAAAAGATTATTTTTGTAGAGAGTTATGTGAAGAGGAAGGTGGTCAAATTCGTAAATTGTGCTAGAGGAATCGAAAATTTTGAAAGAGGTGAGATCATGAGAAAGAGATGGAGAAGTGAAAATGTAATCAATATGAGTATGAGTTTTTCTTGAAAAAATGAATGTATGGAGAAATTGCTTGGAATTATCTGAGATTAACATAGCAGTGTGTACAAAATTTAAATTAGTTATTTTGTCAATAAAGGATCTACATATTCGATTTCTTTTCAAATTGTTATGGATATTCTGGATCTTATAGAAGTCAATATTGAAGTCGCCCATTAATATTATATGAAAAGATTTGAATTGTGCTTCGAGGATGACGTTAATAACTAAATTTTCGATCTTTGTTCTAAGAGCTAGTTGGTCTTGATTGTTAGTATTTGCAGGAAGATAAATCTGGATAATCCTTAATTTGGTTTTGTTTTTGAATTGTAGATCAATATAAGCAATTCTATCAAATAAGAATTTTTGGAAAAAAATATGGTTATATAGATAGGATCTAATAATAAAACTAACATTTTGGTAATTGGATTGGGTATTGTCAGATGAAAAAATAAATTTATACAAATTATTATGAAAACTTTTTGACCGGTATAGGGCCTTTGTAGTACTAAGATAAGTTTCGCTTAAACCTAAAATATCTAAATTATAAGAAGTAAAGAATTGTTCAATTTGAATCATCTTTTCGTCAGAAACGAAACTTCTAACGTTGTGGGTAGCGATTGAAAAAAAATTTGGATCATTAAAACGAGAATAAAAACTGTCGTTAGATAAAACTTTTTCATTAATGTTCAAATGGGCTTTTGAAACACCATTTGGGATGCTGCTTTGGTGTACACTCATAAATCATTAGGAAAGAGAGTTTGGGTAAGAATGCGTAAAACAGACGAAATTGAATGAATTTTGGATTTGATATCATTAACTGAAGATTCAACTGAGTCCATTCTTTGTAAATGGATCATTTGGGGGTGAGAAACGTTGATCGAAGAGTTTGAAGAAGATGAAACTTCATTATTTTCAACCTGAACGGTAGGAGTAACAGGAGTTATTTCCATTTCTTCTTCACCGTTGTGAAGAGAAAATTTGTAATTCATATCATCAATTTGTTTTGGGTCATATTCAATATAATGCATATATTCAAGTCGATTCAAACGAAAGTTAATGTCCTTCTAGTTTTGCTCATATTTGATGATAGAATTTTTTAGAGAGATTATTTCATCATTGATAAGAGTGAGTTTGTTTTCGATATGATCCAATTTCTCTTGGATGAATTTAAAAATGTCAGTAGTATTTGGAGGAATTTTTTGGGGTGAAACATTATTGTTATTCTTATTATCGTTGGAAGAATTGTTATTGTGGAATCCATTTTTTTCGTTCTGTAATACTTGTGAGAAAGATCTGTGAGGACCTGGATTGGTAGATTGAAAGGATCTTGACGGTCTATACTGCTCTGGCTTGAAGCGATCATATAAAGGTTTGTAAGGATTAGCTGGTTTACAATTAGTACAATCCTTTAGTTCATAGTCAGGGGCATCACAAATTCTGCATGTTTTTTTGATGGTTCCATTCAGTAAAGGACTTTGCCCTTAAATTTTTGTGATTAATTGGTAGCAAAGATAAAATCATCATTGTTAGTGAAATTTACAAAAGCATACGGTCGAAGGCGGTATTGCTAGTCACGTAATATAAAACAAGATTTTGTTTTGATATGAACGAGAAAATTGATTAGTTGCCTCTGATCAGTATTATAAGGTAAACCAGTAAGTTTTAGTTCAAATTTTGTCTGAGAGCAACTTGTGAAGGGTCAAAGTTGGTCGATTCAATTCTTAAGAAGTTTTCCAAAAAGGAAACAGACCACACTTGATCATAAAATTGTTTTATAGATTCGGGATTTTCAAATACAATAAAGGCGATTTGCCAGGGTCCTCTTATAATCATGGAGAAATGAGAAATCTTTTTGTATTTGGTAAAATAATTTCATACTACATCTGATTTGGTAAAAAGCGGAATGTTAGAGACTTTGATCGTCCTGCCTTTTTTGGCATTTTGTCATTGTTGTTTCACAGCAGGATCGATGATAGTAAAAATAGGATTGTGTTTTGTTTCCTGCGTTTTTGTGAGAGCATGTTTTAAGGAGTCCATCGATTTGAAATAAACAAAGAACTTTCTAAATTTGGAAATATATGTTGAGCCTTGATACCTATTGAAGTGGATAAACAAGGAGTTAATAAAAGTGCGCTTTTCAGCTACAGAGTTTCCTTTGACGTCAAATGCATTATCAGTCACGTAGAAACGCGTAGGAGTAGTGATGATATTGAAAGAGACTTCTTTTGGTTCATGGTCACGTGGTTTTTCTGTTTCTTCGACTTCATCAGACTATGACTATCATTGTTTGCCTTTGTTGGTTAGAGAGAGGATGTAATCGAAACCAGTATTAGCAAACATATTATCTTCGTTAAAGTTTGCGTGCATAGAATCGTTGGTAGTTAATTTCGGCAGTGGTATAGGAGCTGGATTAATATTGGTATCTGAAGATATATCAACATCCATTTCAAAAGGTGGAGCAACAGTAGAGAAGACATTGGAAGGTGGTGAAGTCATATTAGAAAGAATATCGTTGCTGAGGATTATGTTTCCAATAACGTTATGAATATCTGTAGTTGTTTCTTGGTCGTTGGGTAGTAGGATCGTTTTTTGCTTTTTTAAAGTAGAAATGGTTTCATCATTTTTAAGTGTTTGAGAAATAGAGCTGGAAGTTTCACTGTTATTGGAGGAGTTAGTTCGTTTGTTTTTATTGTTAGTTCGTTGATTTTCTTTGCCAAAGTTGAACGAGTAACAGGCATTATTTTATTGTCGATCTTTTTCGTTTGTTTTTGAGAAGTTTGGGAAAGAGTTTTTTTTTTGGAATAATTGATTTATTAAATAACATTGCTTTAAAATTAGCATTTTACTTAAGATATTTATTATTGAAATCTGATTGGATATGATATTTAATATCACTATATAACAAATAAATTGTTAAAATTCGGTATAAATGTTATTGAATTTTCTTATATAATGAATTTTGACCTCCAAAAATAGAGATTTGTTATAATGAAGTTCAACTGTAATGTTATCAACTCTAAATAAAAAAAAGCATTTCCATATTATAATAGAAATAATATGTCAGTCGGTAAGTGATTCTTCTGGGTTTTTCTAATAATATTTGCATCTATCAAATAATTTGAACTCATCTAATCAAATTACTCTTTTTCACTCTTCAATTTTCCAATTCTTGTATTTTTTTTTAGCAAAATTTAAATAACAATGTTTTTTCCTAAATATGGTTTTTTTTATTTGATTCTTGAAGAAAAACCATTTCAACATAAAGTACGTTTCATAGTGTTTGTGCCAACATTAATTTTGGCATGGATTTTAGGTTTTTTTTTTTTGTATATTCACTGCGGTTGAACATTCACCAGACATAAGTATATTAATTATATTACACTCATTTCACCCTGTAAATATTCTGAGACATTCTGACTTTGATAAATCTTTAATTGAGCCTGTAATTTCAACTTTTTTTTGTGCAATATTTTCTTTTTCTACAATAAATCTTGTAGGATACCCTTCTTGAACAAGGATATATATTCTTGAAAGTTTTTTCAGTAGAAATATGTACCATAGTGTCAAAAATAAAAGAAATACCATTTTTAAAAAAAAATAAAGAATTGTGTTTTACATTATAATAAATTAGGGCTATAATATTATTCTTTTTATATGAATCAAACAATCAAATGATTTGCATCGCCATTTTTATTCTCTTCAGTAAAATATTTTCGTTTTCATTCTCAACAATCTTGTCAAGAATTTCTAAATCACCCGGACTTGGTGATATGTTCCAATTTTTATTTATTGCCTTGATTATACCAGAAGATTGATATACTTTAATTCGATTATATGGGAACGTTGCCAGTAAAATCAAGTCACAAGATATAAATCATATGATCCGTAATGTGATTTTACTGGCAACACTCCCATATAGTAACTTTCGTCTCCGAAAATAAAATCAACAAATCCAAATCTTCCGTCTCCATTTGGTTTGTTGCTATCAATAACTAACTAAACACATTTCTAGAATTCAGTTATCTGACAACAACAGTTCGGTAATTTAGATGATAATGAGAAGAGTTTGACCTTGACACTATATGTGGGTTTTTTTTTAAGATTTGGAAGAGGATGCTTTCTTCCTTTTCTTCGTTTCATTCACATTTGCATATTTATTCCATAATTCATTAGGCTTTATAGTGATGAAAAAACAATTATGTTAGATCAGAATAATTGAATGAAAAGTACAAAGTTCCGAAGTTTCTTTGTTGGTAATAGAGGAAGGTATATAGCAACTCCTCCTCTGGAGTTAGCAGACCTCTCAAAGAAACCTGGAATAGCCAGATGCAGAGAACCACACCCCTATTGTAACTCCAATGCGTAGTTTTTAGTCACGCATCCAAGTTCAACTACTTACAAATTGACGTGTAGTTAAGAAGGGCGCAAGAGCCTAGCAAAAAAGCCCCATTCCAAATACATCCCATTTAAGAAATCAAATAAAATATATAAAACTTACATTTTCGAGAAATTATGGATTTCTTGTACTCTGCTTATAACGATAAGATTCAAAGCCTTATAAAATGTGAAATGTAAATAGCGTTTTTGATAATCCAGATAAAAAGACAAATAATTTGTATAAGGAACTCTCCACTTGTTCATTTCTTTTAGTACTATGACAAAGAAGGAATTTCGATAAGTCATTTTACAAAATTGACCCATAACTCCGAAACTATAAAGTTATAACATACCTGGAAGAGTTCCTATCAGAGGTACTAATTTTGTTTCAATCTTTTTGATTTTATGAGAAATGTGGAGAAACGCGTTAAGACACGTTAAGACGCGTGAATTCAAAATTATTCTCGAAAAAGCTCATACCTTAGTGCAATCAAACTTTCTTCGCATGGTTTGTCATGTCAACTCAAGAACTCAAGGAATTGTCTTATGTGATATGTTGCAGCTTCTCTAAAACATGTCAAAGTTGACGTACTGCTACTTCGTTAGTATATTTTGATACCATTATAGTACATGTAAGAAATACTTGGATATTCTGATGTTTAAGATATTAGGCAAAAATTCTTAGAAGGTAGATTGTTGCATAAATTTTCACGTTAATAATTTAGACGCTATCTTTTATATGGAGATCGAGTCACGCCTCCTGTTTTAATTTTTGTCTTAACTCAATTTTAATAGCACGTGATAATTTCACACATTAAGACAATTATTTTTATATTTTTACATTTAAAATGATGTATTTCTTGCTTGCAATTAACTTTTTGTTAAAATTAATAACACAACCGACTTCCTAATAAAGACGACGTCAAATTAAATGAAAGACTTCACGAGTTATCATTACGCATAATACGATTCGCAGCCATAAAACTAAAAATAAAACATGATATATTGAATTGGATGAATTAATCAAACAAAAAGATATTTTTTTATTTTTTTTTATCTTTTTACTTACATTGCACCATGAGCTAAACCAAAGCTTTGAATATTTTTTAATTGACTTGTTGTTAGTTCTACATTTTCTTCCAAGTTTGTCATATTTCGTTGTAATCTAGACAATTGGTTATTTAATGAATTATAAAGACGTCGTTTCGCAAATATATGGTGATTATGATTTATGCTAGTTTTATTTAATTGTGCCGGTTGTAAAGGAACTTGTAATTTTGACTGGGGTCTTTTAAATGTATTGTTGTTAGTATCCATAGTTTTTGAAGACTTTAAGTGAAAGACACGAAAGAAAGAAAGAGAAAGGGTTTGGTTTATAATCTATTTCGCGTCAAGGTTCAGGACATTTATGATTGGCCGGACATGGTGGAACGAACAATGTCCATATAAGGCGGTGTACATGGTGGGTATTATGAATCCCATTATTGTCAATTTAATTTAAAAATAGTGTGTTAATTTATCTATTAAAATTCTTGTATAAAGAGTATTGAAATTATATCGTTTCTGAATTTTTGAATATTATGAAGTTTCGTTTTCAACCTCTTTTGATCAAATTACATACCGTTGAGTCCGAACTCTCTTTATTATGATGAGATGTCTGGAATTGTGTTTGTTACATGATTTATTTCGCAAAGGAGCAATCGAATGAAAAAAAAAAAAAAAAAAAAAGCCACAAATATATTTTTAATTAGTCACTATACTAATATATATGAGCTTTAAATTTTTCAGTTTCTCCGATCAAATTCTAATAAAAGGATCTCGAATGGAAATATTTATAACCAATTGTAGATATATCAAAGAATAAAATAATAAAAATAACAATAATTTTATGGGTTCTAAGCCCTAACCATATCAATTAATAAACCCGATTAAATAATTTGAGTTATAAACGAATAGAAGACCAAAGTTGACAACATAAATATTACATACCTACAATGAATTCTTAAATACTTAGCAACAAACGACGAGGATCCTCAATCTGTTCTTTAATGGTTTTCAAAAAGGTAACAGCTTCACGTCCATCAATCAAACGATGGTCATAAGTTAAAGCAACGTACATCATTGGACGAATTGTCACCTATTAAAGGTAGATTATATATAATATATTTTCGAGAATAAAATTAATTATATAAAAGTTACTTAATTAAATACCTGGCCATTTACTGCAATAGGACGTTCTTTGGTAACATGCATCCCTAATATCGCACTTTGTGGCATGTTGATAATAGGAGTACCATATAATGACCCATATACTCCACCATTTGAAATAGTGAAAGTACCTCCAGCCATATCTTCAATTGTAATTTTTCCATCTCGAGCCTGAAATTAGAATTTTCGACTTAATCAAAATTCTTATTGAATCGATACTTGAAAAATAATGATATAATTTTATTACCTTTTTACCTAATTCCGCAATTGCCTTTTCGACATCAATAAAAGATAACAAGTGAGCATTTCGAACAACAGGTGTGACAAGACCTTTTGGTGTAGCAACCGCAACACTCATATCAACGTAATCTCTAAAAACGATGGTATCTCCGCCATTTGGACCTTCAATTGAAGCATTGACTACCGGAATTTCTTGAAGTGCAAATACAGATGCTTTAACAAATGCAGACATAAATCCAAGCTTGATGCCATGTTTTTGTAGGATTAAATCCTTATAAGTGTTACGGAGGTCAATAATATTACTAAATTAATATTTATATGTAAGTTTAAAATGGTTGAAGCTATTCATTATATTATTGTTATTATTACTGTTATTCACAAAAAAAAATCGGTTAAACCTCATGTCAATTTCATTGAAAGTTGTCAAAGAAGCAGCTGAATTTTGTGATTCTTTCAGTCTTTCAGCGATACGCAAACGCATTCTATTCATCTTTACCTAATATAATGATGATAATAAGGGAGAATTTAATAATGTAATCATGCAATTTTTCACCATTTTATCGAATATGCTTGTATATACATGACGTTCTTCGCGCTCACGATCACCATACAGAGATTCTTCTGATTTAGATGGGCGTGAAGGTGTAGTACCTTCAGACTTTGATGATTGTGAAGTTGTAGGTTTGGAGTCTAATCAAATAATAATATGAAGATAATATTATTGTTATTGTTATTATTTGGGAAAAGGAAATTATTAGGTACGTACCAGTTTTTGATGATGTTGTTTCCTTCTTTGATTCCTGTTTAGGTCCTTCTTTTGGCTCTTCCTTTTTAGATTCTTCCATTTTCTCTTTGGGTTCTTCCTTTTTAGATTCTTCCTTTGTAGTTTCAGGCTTCTCCGCTGTTATTATTTAACCAAGGTTACGTGACGAATAAGATAAGTTATACAAGAAATCACAAACATACCTTCTGCCGGAACCTCACCCAATTCAATCTTGTAAAGATCTTGATCTACACCCACAGTTTCTTCTTCCTTTGCATATACTTCGATTATTGTACCAGCATATGGGGAATTAATTGGAGCATCAACCTACATGATAAAAGAACAGTAAAAATCGAATATTGGTATATAAAAAAAAACAATAATTTCAGAATGAATTGATTATACTTTATCAGTTTCGATTGTCGCTACTTCCTCGTCTTGCTGAACGAAATCGCCGACATCTATTCGATGTAAGGAAAATAGAAATAAGATTAGGTAAATTGGTATTATAAAGACAAGTAAATAATTTACATATTTACAAAAATTATAAGAAATGACATTACTTTTACTCCATCTCGCAAGAGTTCCTTCTCTGATTGATTCGGCAAAAGCAGGGACTCTAACTATCTTGCTGACTATTATTTTCAAATTTATAAAATTTTTTAATTAACTATGTAGAGGCAAATCATTCAAGTACCAAATAGAATAGGCAAACCTTACCATATCCTCGAACCTGTATCCGATTAGCAAATAATTTTGGCAATGAAATATTTCTGAATGATAAATAACCTGAGAATCAGAGCGCGCAAATCACCTCCATATCGTAATTCTTTTGCATAAAACATTTAAATCAACAACATTTCCTCCAACCACAAATAACATAATTGTAAAATTTGGTTTCGAATTCCAATTTTATAATTTTTTATTTAATTATTTGGTAACTGGAATAGGGAGTTGTTGATATATTTTAAGTTGATTTATAAAAGAGGCCAACCTTATGATTTTTGATTCATTTGTATATGACCCCATAATAATAGGGTGATTTCGCTGCCGCATTAAAAACGGGTTACGGACAGCAGGAGTTCTTTTTGACACCACCTTGGTACTATAACGAAAAGAACACATAGAAGAACTATTAGACACAGCTTTACATATAACTGCCAGATGCATTTTAAGTCTTGCTGCCGACGCGTTAAAGTTTAGAGGAAAAAAAATCAAACAAATTGTGAAAATATTGAATTGAAATGTACGAATTTTAGTTGTGATACCCCAATATCTAGCATCATTACTACAATTTAAGTATCATTACTAATCATTTTTGTTAATTGATTTACTGATGATCTGTTGAATTGTTCCATTCGAAATCTCGCAAAAAAAAAGATTCAAAATCAGATAACAAATTTTAAAATTTTAAAGTTACCATTTTTGGGTTAATGTTAATTGTGTTCTTGATATATATATTTTCCACGTGCTATTTTGTCATACGTATAGATAACGATAACGGAATGAAACAATTAAACTTTGAAGAAAACAGTTTTTTTTTTTTTTGATAATCTTGCAGTATTATGGTTGTGTAATTGTGATTTATAATGATTTTTCTTCTTAGCATCTATGAGTTTCTATTTAATGTACGCGTCCATTTTTAAAAGAAAAATCCAATTCTTTAATCGAAATCCAAATTTATAGAAATAGTTTTTAAAGTGATTATTGTGATAAAAAAAAATGATTTTCACGATTTGTACATGCCAATATTAAGGATTCTTGACCTTTTTTTTTTTTTGACAAACATTTCTCCATTTTTTATTTCTTTAATTAGAAAGTAAATCACTGCAGTTGCCCATGAGATCACCATGATTTTAGATTACCAATTTTATATTCCAAATTATTATCAAAAAACTCAATTTTATAAACTAGAAAACGGAAGTCGTTGAAAGTTCGGAACGATATATAAAAACTAATACCCATCGTATATTGTTCAATGTTTTCAAAGAACGCAGTATATTTATTGATTATAATATACAGTAAAAGGGATTGAGAAAAAAGAGAAAGTTAAAATCATCGCAATTTGTAAATTAAATCCAATATTTTATAAATAAACTAGTTGTGAGTCCGGAGCTCTATTTTATCACATGAACCACATAATTATTTAAGTTTTATAAAAATTTACTCATAGATAATTTAGATAATTTGATGGGAAATTAGGAGGAAAGATTAATCCAATTTTAATATATAGATTAATAGATTAACAAACTTTGTTATATTTTGTATTTCTTTTATAAATAAATTTTCTTTTTTATTGAATTAAAAACCCAATTTCCTGAATTTCATTAAAACATCCATTTTCCTGAATATCCAATTTTCCAAATTCTAATATCTCAAATATCATAGGATATCAAATCCCAATATTCTGAATAATCATATTCCTGAATCTCTATATCCTGAATGGTCTTGAACATTGCCCAAGATTACATCCAGTATATAATCAATCATCTATATCCAAAAAAATTTTATTGTAATCTATTACCAAAGAAAACTATAACTTATAATTTTTAATTATCTTATATTATTTGCTCTATTGCTATAAATATTAGAAAATTGTTTATTTAGGATATAGAGATTCAGGGATATGAAAATTCTGGATATTGAGATTTGAAAAATTGGGTATCAGGATGTTAGAATTCAGGATTCAGAAAATTATAATTTGGAAAAAATATCTATTCAGGAAATTGGCATTCAGAAATTCAGATGTTTTAATAAAATATTCAATTCAGAAAATTAGTATTTGGAAAATTTGACTTTAAGAAAATGTATATTCAGAAAATTAACATTTAGAAACTTGTTTAATAAGGGTTAATATTGTTATAGGCAGTTCTTTAGGGTCGCTTTAAAGGTTAAAAGCGTGGTAAGGTAAACAGAAGGTATAAGTTTATAAGTTAATGTAGATTGAGTCAAAAAGGTCGATCGTTTATTCAATATGTCTTAACAAATG